GTCCTGGGCTTGTTCATGTCTGTGCCTGAGGCTCATAATGGCAGAGACCCCAAGGAACGGACTGGAGGGTGTGTCTCTGGGGAGCCATCTTCAGCTGGATAAGAACATAAGAACGGCCACACTGGGTCAGCCCGATTGGTCCATCTAGCCCAGTGTCCTGTCGGCCAACAATGGCCAAGGCCAGGTGCTTCAGAGGGAATGAACAGAACAGGGCAACTTATCGAGTGATCCATCGCCTGTCATCTAGTCCCAGCTTCTGGCAGTCAGAGGTTCAGGGACACCCAGAGGATGGGGCTGTGTCCCTGACCATGTTTCCCCATCCTCCTGGGTCCTTAACAAGGGCAATCAGTTAGCGCGGCCCTGCCCTGCCTTGCCTGCCAGAGCAGGGCCAGCACCCCCTCCAGCCTCATCCCCTTGCAGCTCCCACGCCCCTCTCTGGGGGGCAGCTCTGTGGAAACCACACAGCCTCCGTCAGGGATTCTCTCTCATCCAAGGCTCGGATTTCAGCCGCTGCCCTGGCTTTCCTTAGCCCAGGCTGCAGCAGCTCTGTCCTGCCAGCGCCTGGCCAGGGGACTGCGCAGCCCGAGGGGGGGTCTTTTCATTCTCACACTTCAAAGCCTCTCTTTGCTTTGGGCCATTTTCCCAGGGTTCTTGAAATACTTTCCTGGCACATCCTCTTCCCCCCACCCCTCAGCTGGGGAGCTGCCTCTCCCTCTGGGGCTCCTTCCCCTGAGCAGCGGGGCCCCAGCCGTCCAGACGAGGGTGGCTGCTGGTGAACACTCTGCCTGTGGCTAGCCTGGGGGGGGGGCAATCCCCGGGAGTGCTGGCCATGTGGGGGGGAATGCTGGCAGAGGGCTGTGGGGCCAGCAGCCTCGGTCACCTCCCAGCAGTTGGTGGCTGGTGCCTTTTCACTGCTCTGCTCTTCCCCTGCTGGCCCGGGGTAGCCGGCCACCTCCTTCCGGTGGGTTTTGGCAGCTGCTTACTTGCTGCAGGGCGCACTGTAAACGTCTAATTAGGTGAACCTGGCAACGCTTTAAGGGCTGAAGGGGGAGGGATGGGCCTTGCCAGATCTGATCCTGGGCCACAAAGTTGAATTGTGGGGTGGGATTGGTGCTTTTCTGCGCTTTCCCCCCACTCCACTGGCTCCCCGGCAGCGGGACTGGGCTCTTCACTTTGGCTCAGTGCCTGGGCTGTGCCAGCCTGGTCTGGCCCCACACCTCCTCTGGCGTTACTAGGGGGCTGCGGCAGAGTTTGGCTGGCTGGCTGCGCAGTAAGAAGGGCCTGGCGGTGTGGTAACGCCGTTCCCCCAGCCACCCCCATCCCTCCTCTCCGGCACCCTGGAGAAACGTTCCCTCTACGTTTTTCCACCCGTGTGCAGAATAAATGTTATGTGCCCTGAGGTATGTGCCGACATGCCCCACCAGTAGAAACAAAAAACCTAGATATAATACAGATTTTTTAAAGTTACCATAGGGATAATTACTCCAGTCAGGACAGGTTTGGCATTTTACAACTCACTACTCAAAGAGTTAAATTTAAGTGTAAGAGAAATAAAAATTATGAAACGCATAGTCCAGTCAAAACACTAAAATGGCACACTTTGAAAGAATAAAATTAGAATATACGTGCATTGCAGGAGGTACTGAGACGTTAACAACAACGTGTGTGTGTGTGTGTGAGTGAGTAAGACAGACAGACAGTGTGTGTTGGCTGCTGGGGAAGTCTCTGAGAGACCGTGCGCTGTCTCTTTAAGGCAGTGACTCACCCGAAGGCTTGTTCAGAGCTGCTGCCAGTCCTGAGCCCTGTCTCCTCTACCCTGCTCTGTGGAGATGGGGTACAGGGACTGGGGGAGCAGGAGGGGGACATCCTGACATCAGCACCCTCCTTTCTCCCCTCTGCACAGCCAGCAGGAGGGTCCCAGGAGCAACGTGGCTTCAAAGTAGAGGGGGAGGCTACCGGTTAGATGTGCGCAGCACTGGAATCTCTCCTGAGTGGCCCCCAACTGTGCAGCTTACAGGGAACACAGCCACGGAGCCAGCTCCTTCACATCGCCCTCGCTGCCGGCCAGGGGCAAAATTCACCCGAGGGGGGCATCCCTTCTCAGCTCTGTTGGGGCACCCCTGCTGATAGGAGTGGGGCAGTACCAGCAGGGATCCCAGCCACGTGCCTGCCATTGCTGGGCAGGTCACCCTCCTGCCGTATCCACGCCAGACGACCCAGTGGAACAGGGTCCACACGGGCCATAGGCCTGTGAGCCTGCAGAACCCAGGGACTGCCCAGCTCTGACGTAGGCTGAGCCAGCTTTGCCTGGCAGAATAGGCCAGCCGCTCCCTCAGGAACATGTGGGTCCCAGCAGCATCTACTACCTGAAGCTTTAGGTTTGGGGGAAGGCCCATAATGCAGCTGATCAGGATTCCTTCCTGACCCCTCTTCTCCCAGGCCATAAGCTTGAGGTTTGCTTAGCCAGTTCCCCGGCCCCGATAAGAACACAAGGGTGGCCATCCTGGGTCAGACCAAAGGTCCATCTAGCCCAGTATCCTGTCTACCGACAGTGGCCAATGCCAGGTGCTGCAGAGGGAATGAACAGAACAGGGAATCATCGAGTGATCCATCTCCTGTCGCCCATTCGCAGCTCCTGGCAAACAGATTGCATGATGGAGTATTACTGGCCATGAGCCATCCCAGCAGTAAAGGATCCCACGTCTGAGCTGCTGCACCAGCGAGTCCGCACGTGAGCCATGCTGCCCGGAGCCTTTGCCTCCAGCCCCGGTCCCGGGGCTGGGCAAGGTACGAAGCAGCTACTCATTGTGCTTCAGCTCTTTGAAGCCTCTAATTCCTCTTGTCCCAAGTTTGATGACTACAGCTGGCAGGGGGATGCTCTACACCTGGCATCCTCTGGGCGACAGCTGGGCAGCGATTTGCAGTGTGCCCTGCCCCACCCTGCTCTCGAGGGCTCCAGGGCCTGTGATCTAGTTACAAATCCCCCGATCAGTTTGGACATTTGAGCCCCACATATTCATAGTTCATAGTTCTGCCTTTTCTAACGTGCCAGCCATGGAGAGCCCGCCTTGCAGTCAGATTGGTGCCACCTGGGCCTGGAGCTTGCCTCCCATCCCTGGGTGAAGGGACTCGCTGGCTTGGGGCAAGCTAGCTCCCAGAGCGCAGGAGTCACCGTTCCTAGGAGCTTCGGGCTGCTCGCGGCCTGCAGGTGCCTCCCTCGTTCCATCCGAGCAGCGTCCGGTTAGCGAGGCAGGGAGTGCCGTCATGAAGGCAGTGTCGAGGGTTGGACATAGCTGGAACATGAGTAGCCAGGGCTCGGTGGGCTGCAGGGGTTGTGGAGAATGCCGCCCCGCTGCGCTCAGGTGTGCGGCTGGGGTGAGAGGGGTGGGGGGTAGAAAGCAGAGGTGGCTGGGAGAGTTTGGGGCAGGCTTGTCCCAGGGGTGCGGGGTAGGCCCTTGGTAAATGCTGGTGCTGTCACCGCTCCGGCTGATAGTGGTCTTGCCCTCTCCAATCCCTGCATCCAGCGGCTGAGAGCTCTCCCGGCTGTTTCCGGCACACCTGATGGCAGGGTTGGTTGATGCGGGGTGCGGCCCCCAGAGCTCCTTTCCATCCTCCCAGTCAGGCTCTGGGGGGTCCCAGCTGTGCCCTCTCCCAGGCTGCACCATGCTGCTTCCCACACCACATGGGAGGGGAAGGGGGGACTGGGGGCAGTCACTGCTCAGGGCACCATCAGTTGCGGGGGGCTGGGCACAGGCTTGTGCCCTAGTTGTTTTGCATAGTGGCTGATGAGAGCAGACCTAGCTCCTGGCAGGCCCAGGGTGCCCCTCAGTACCATTGGCACAGCATCCCTGGGCCCAGTCTTCCCAGGGGGCATCAGTCAGCACAGCCAGTGCAGTGACACCCTTCGCATGGTGTTTGGGGAAGGAGGCCAGTGATTTGATTCCCAGGGAGCCGCTGGGACACCTACTTTGTGACTCCAGGGACCTGGCACTTCCTTTGGGGTGGGGAAAGCCATCCCCGGGCTCCTCGGCCTGGCATTGTCCCCCACTGTCACAAACAGCTCCGGCTTGGGCCACCCGCACCTGGGACCAGCATGGAGCAGTCTGGGGCAGGGTGTTCCTGACCCTGGCAGGTGATGGTGACTGCTCCCCCTGACTGAAGCCATGGCTTGTGCTCACACAGTGCTGCTCTGAGCGGGGCCCTGGCCCTTTGGCTGGGCATCACCCGAGGAGCTCTGGCATCCCTCATCTCCCACTGCCCCTGGGGACTGTCTCCCCTCCCAGGAGAAGGACTTTCTGTGCCCTCCCCTCACTCACACTCCTGAGCCCTCTGTTTCCCTCCACTCCACCCCTAGCAGGCTGGGGAGATTCCCTGCTGGGCAGCGCGTGGCACTGGGCAGCACAGGGCATGGTGCTCTCTCCCACCCACCTGGGCAGCACTGCGGCCCTGGGACTGGAGGGCTGGGTCTAGACCCTGCATCTCTTGGCCAGGGGCCCGGCCCCTCTGACAGGGCAGAAAGGGGACAGGGCAGACCATGTATGAGGTCCTGCAGTCATACATTCCCCTCCTGGGGCCACCACAAGCTGCCTGAATGACCTGGCTGTCTCCTCCGAGAGGGGAGCCCCCCCATTCCCTAGAGGGCCCCCCACACAGCGTTGCAGCCTCCCATGCCAGGCTGGGTCCCCGACACCACATGGTCCCATGGGTGCGAAGCTGGTGTCTGGTGAGTCAAGGCCCAGGGTCATGCTGGGCCCCCGAGGGGCCTTTCCCAAACTGAGCCCCACGGTGGGAGAGTCCAGGATGGTGCCTCATTGCTGGGGGCCCTGCGCCCTGCCAGCCCCAACAGGGCCCACTTGAGAGCTGGCTCGGCTGAGCCGAGCAGTCCCTGCAGGGGATCTGGCACTTGGTGGCCTCTTCCCTGCCCACTTCCGGCTTTTGGGGGGTCCCTCCTCCCCCAGGCGCAGCAGGCAGCCCTGACTCCCCATTTGCTCTCTCTGCAGGCTGAGAAGAAGGCCAAAGTCATTGCTGTCATGAACGTGGTAGAGGAGAGCCAACGGGCAGAGCCCCAGAAGGAGGAGGAGGCCAGCCCGCCTGCCTCACAGCAGCCCACAGACCCCGCTTCGCCCAACGTGGCCACCACGCCTGAGCCAGTGGTGGCCGACGCCGTGGACAAGAGCACGTCCAAGTCAGCTGACGACGAGCCGGAGTACGAGGTGAGTTCAGCCACAAGCAGTGGGGGCCAGGGGGCCTTCAGGCCAGCACTGCTGGGGGCAGATGTGGGGGGCACCATCTGGTGGGAACCCAGCCACAGCAGAGCACCCATGCCACATTCCGGGACCTTAGCCACCCCGATCCCTGCCGCCACCCATGCTTCTCCTTCTGCACGCCTTCCCTCCCCCACCTTGCACCACCCCTCCCCGTCCTTCTCTGTACCCCTCCCTCACCCAGCATCACACCTCCCCGTCCTTCCTGCACGCCTCCCCTCCCCCACCTTGCACCTTCCCTCCCTCATCCTGAACATTTCCCTTCCCCCATCCTTCCCTCCACACCTCCCCTCCTCCACACTGCACACCTCCCCTCCTGCATCCTTCTCTGCACCCCTCCGCTCCTCCACTCCCCCGTCCTTCCCTGCACACCTGTCCTCCACCCTGTGGCTCTTCCCTTTCCATCCCTCCATACCTCTTCCCCTCCCCCATCCTTTCCTGCACCCCTCCCCTCCCCCACCCTGCACCTCCACCCCCCTACACACCTCCCCTCCCCCAACCTTCTCTGCACACCTCCCCCATCTTTCCCTCCATACCTCTTGTGCCTCCCCTCCCCACCTCCCCTCCCCCACCCCATGCCTCTGCCCCGTCCTCCCTTATACACCTTCCTTCTGCCCGCTCTGCATCCCCGCCCCCCTCCCCTGACCTCGCCTGCCCCCCGCCAACTCCACTGGCCCGCATGCATGTATCTCATCCCTGCCCATTCTTGTTCCCCCACACCCCGGCTGTTCCCCTTTCCCCGTGTCTAGCCCCCTGCCTTGCCCCTCCCCGGGCAGGCCCAGCTCTGGTTCTGACCGGGGGGCCCACTCTCTGACGCTCCGTCTGCTCCCTGGGCCGGCAGGATGGCCGAGGCTTCGGGATCGGTGAGCTGGTGTGGGGGAAGCTGCGTGGATTCTCCTGGTGGCCGGGCCGGATTGTGTCCTGGTGGATGACTGGGCGGAGCCGAGCAGCCGAGGGCACCCGCTGGGTCATGTGGTTCGGAGATGGCAAGTTTTCCGTGGTAAGTGGCAGCACCAGGCACCATCTGGGCTGCGGGCTGGCAGTTCTGGGGCATGCCCTGGTGGACGGGTGCTCTCCTTTCCTCTCACAGCCCCCATCTCTGCTCCTCACAGGTCTGCGTGGAGAAGCTCCTGCCACTGAGCTCCTTCTCCAACGCCTTCCACCAGGCCACGTATAACAAGCAGCCGATGTACCGCAAAGCCATCTACGAGGTCCTGCAGGTAAGAGCAGCCAGAGAGGGTGCCAGGCACAAGGGCGCCCCTTGCAGTCCCCAGGCCCATCCACCCATGAGCCTTGGATTTGGCCCAGACTGCGGGAGTGTGACCATGGGCAGATCCCTCAGGGTCTCTGGGCGCCCAGCAGGGATCTGCCCTGCCGCCCGAGGGCGGTGAACGCATTACGCAGGGCGAGGCACTCAGCGATGGGGTCCAGAGAGAGACTCCCTGGCAGGGAAGGGGTGGAAGGGAAGGGCCCACTTGCCTCGGTCCCATCCATTCAGCTAGGCAGTGCTATGGGTCCTGGAGTTAGACCAACATAGAATCATAGAATATCAGGGTTGGAAGGGACCTCAGGAGGTCATCTAGTCCAACCCCCTGCTCAAAAGCAGGACCAATCCCCAATTAAATCATCCCAGCCAGGGCTTTGTCAAGCCTCACCTTAAAAACTTCTAAGGAAGGAGATTCCACCACCTCCCTAGGCAACGCATTCCAGTGTTTCACCACCCTCCTAGTGAAAAAGTTTTTCCTAATATCCAACCTAAACCTCCCCCACTGCAACTTGAGACCATTACTCCTTGTCCTGTCCTCTTCTACCACTGAGAATAGTCTAGAACCATCCTCTCTGGAACCACCTCTCAGGTAGTTGAAAGCAGCTATCAAATCCCCCCTCATTCTTCTCTTCTGCAGACTAAACAATCCCAGTTCCCTCAGCCTCTCCTCATAAGTCATGTGTTCCACACCCCTAATCATTTTTGTTGCCCTTCGCTGGACTCTCTCCAATTTATCCACATCCTTCTTGTAGTGTGGGGCCCAAAACTGGACACAGTACTCCAGATGAGGCCTCACCAATTTCGAATAGAGGGGGACGATCACGTCCCTCGATCTGCTCGCTATGCCCCTACTTATACATCCCAAAATGCCATTGGCCTTCTTGGCAACAAGGGCATACTGCTGACTCATATCCAGCTTCTCGTCCACTGTCACCCCTAGGTCCTTTTCCGCAGAACTGCTGCCTAGCCATTCGGTCCCTAGTCTGTAGCTGTGCATTGGGTTCTTCCGTCCTAAGTGCAGGACCCTGCACTTATCCTTATTGAACCTCATCAGATTTCTTTTGGCCCAATCCTCCAATTTGTCTAGGTCCCTCTGTATCCTATCCCTGCCCTCCAGCGTATCTACCACTCCTCCCAGTTTAGTATCATCCGCAAATTTGCTGGGAGTGCAATCCACACCATCCTCCAGATCATTTATGAAGATATTGAACAAAACCAGCCCCAGGACCGACCCTTGGGGCACTCCACTTGATACCGGCTGCCAACTAGACATGGAGCCATTGATCACTACCCGTTGAGCCCGACAATCTAGCCAACTTTCTACCCACCTTTATAGTGCATTCATCCAGCCCATACTTCTTTAACTTGCTGACAAGAAGAATACTGTGGGAGACGGTGTCAAAAGCTTTGCTAAAGTCAAGAAACAATACATCCACTGCTTTCCCTTCATCCACAGAACCAGTAATCTCATCATAGAAGGCGATTAGATTAGTCAGGCATGACCTTCCCTTGGTGAATCCATGCTGACTGTTCCTGATCACTTTCCTCTCGTGCAAGTGCTTCAGGATTGATTCTTTGAGGACCTGTTCCATGATTTTTCCGGGGACTGAAGTGAGGCTGACTGGCCTGTAGTTCCCAGGATCCTCCTTCTTCCCTTTTTTAAAGATGGGCACTACATTAGCCTTTTTCCAGTCATCCGAGACTTCCCCGTTCGCCACGAGTTTTCAAAGATAATGGCCAATGCCTCTGCAATCACAGCCGCCAGTTCCTTTAGCACTCTCGGATGCAACTCGTCCGGCCCCATGGACTTGTGCACGTCCAGCTTTTCTAAATAGTCCCTAACCACCTCTATCTCCACAGAGGGCTGGCCATCTACTCCCCATGTTGTGATGCCCAGCGCAGCAGTCTGGGAGCTGGCCTTCTTAGTGAAGACAGAGGCAAAAAAAGCATTGAGTACATTAGCTTTTTCCACATCCTCTGTCACTAGCTTGCCTTCCTCATTCATTAAGGGGCCCACACTTTCCTTGGCTTTCTTCTTGTTGCCAACATACCTGAAGAAACCCTTCTTGTTACTCTTAACATCTCTGGCTAGCTGCAGCTCCAGGTGCGATTTGGCCCTCCTAATTTCATTCCTACATGCCCGAGCAATATTTTTATACTCTTCCCTGGTCATGTATCCAGCCTTCCACTTCTTGTAAGCTTCTTTTTTATGTTTAATATCCGCTAGGATTTCACCGTTAAGCCAAGCTGGTCGCCTGCCATATTTACTATTCTTTCGACTCATCGGGATGGTTTGTCCCTGTAACCTCAACAGGGATTCCTTGAAATACAGCCAGCTCTCCTGGACTCCTTTCCCCTTCATGTTAGTCCCCCAGGGGATCCTACCCATCTGTTCCCTGAGGGAGTCGAAGTCTGCTTTCCTGAAGTCCAGGGTCCGTATCCTGCTGCTCTCCTTTCTTCCCTGTGTCAGGATCCTGAACTCGACCATCTCATGGTCACTGCCTCCCAGGTTCCCATCCACTTTTGCTTCCCCTACTAATTATTCCTGGTTTGTGAGCAGCAGGTCAAGAAAAGCTCTCCCCCTAGTTGGCTCCCCTAGCACTTGCACCAGGAAATTGTCCCCTACGCTTTCCAAAAACTTCCTGGATTGTCTGTGCACCGCTGTATTGCTCTCCCAGCAGATATCAGGGTGATTGAAGTCTCCCATCTAACCTGCTTCTGCAGTTACCTGCTTGGGCAGCTGCTTCCTCTGCGCCATGCTGCCTGCTGCTCACCGGGCACCTGCAGCCCGCTCAGGGCAGTGGCAGTGGCTGGGCTAAGGGGCACTGCCGCGCTCAGCCCCGGCCTGAATGGCAGCAGCACTGTCCTGGCTGCACACAGAGCAGGGAAGAGCCCTGTCGTGGGGAAGGGGAGGCCCCTCTTAGGCTGTGGGCAACTGGCCTGACCCCGGGGCTCGCTGCGCAGGTGGCCAGCAGCAGAGCGGGGAAGATCTTCCCAGCATGCCCTGAGAATGACGAGACAGACACTTCCAAAGCGGTGGAGATCCAGAACAAGCAGATGATCGAGTGGGCCTTGGGGGGCTTCCAGCCGTCTGGTCCCAAAGGCTTGGAGCCACCAGAAGGTAACGGGTTTCTGGGATGGGGCGGATGTAGCTCCAGGCAGGGGGAGCCAGGCTGCGAAATGGGCACTGGACCATGGGGAGGGGCAGTGGGACTCGCCTGCGTGTCCATGGCACCGGACACATCTACTCCCGAGCGTGCCAACGAGACGCTGTATTTCCCCACACCGGGGGCACAGTGCCCTTCCCCAACCTTAGGCTGACTTACCTCGGCCATCCTGTCCCTAGCTCAGTTATCGCCAGAAGCTCTGTCCTACCAGGTCTGGCCACTGCTGTCCACCTCTTCAGCCTCAAAGGCCAGATTTGGGGCAGCAGAGAGGCTGGCCAGCCCTGCCAGCCTGCCCATCTCCTGGAGCTCAACTCATCAGCACTGCCTTGCTCCGCTAGGAGCGGTCCTGGCCGCTGGGAGCGATTGTCCAGTCCCAGCTGCAATCAGAGTCAGGGGAGGCCCCCCCCCTTGGCACCTCCCTGTGATCTGCTAGCCTCCCCTCCCTTGTGGGGTCGCTCCTGGCGTGATAGCCGAGAAGCCCCAGGTAGGGATTAGGGCCCCGCTGTGCAGTGAAATCAGCCAGCTCCCGCCCCAAGGAGCACCCGGCCTTCGCAGGTGGCCACAGAGAGGGGTCAGGGAGCAGTGAAAGGGTGGGGGCCAGCGGCCTACGCTGCCACGGGTGTCCCTGGGAAATGCCTGGCAGCCGACTGCTTGGCCCAGCTCCCCCGTGCCCGCTGCGAGGAGCTGGCCCGTACTGCTCTCCTGCGCCCGCTCTAACCGCGTCCCGTTCCCTTTGCGCAGAGGAGCGGAATCCCTACAAAGAAGTTTACACGGAGATGTGGGTGGAGCCAGAAGCAGCCGCTTACCCCCCGCCTCCGCCAGCCAAAAAACCAAGGAAAAGCACAACGGAGAAGCCCAAGGTCAAGGAGATCATAGACGAGCGTACCCGAGGTAGCCACCCGCCCGCTGAGGGAGGGCCTCTGGAGAGGGGTGGCTGGCTGGCCGAGGGCCCAGCTTCCCACTAGCCGCCACTGCAGCTACAGAGCAGCATTTCCCATGGTGCAGCTGGCATCGCGCCCCTCCCCTGTCGTGAGAGCAGACCCCACCCCTTTGCGGAGGCACCCCACTGGCCCAGGGGGGCTGCAGGGCTCTGTCTGCTGGCCCTGGGGAGCACTAATGCCTCCCAAGGCCAGCCTGAGAACTAGAGCTGCCCAAGCCTACCTCCCAAATCCCCTTCTTGATCTGCGGCTAGCCCCCCGAGCCAGGCCGCGGTGGGCCCAGTTTCTCCAGTGATTGAACCACCCCTGCCCCTTCGGGGAGTTGGAATCTGGTTTTGAATCCCGAGCCCAGGGTGGCTCCAGCTTTTCCTGGACGGGGGTTGCCTCTGGACTTGGGTTAAGCCCCACCAGAGCTGCTCTGCGAGGCCTCATTCTCACTAGCCGGGCAAGGGAGGGGGTGAGGAGAGAAGTGGGGGCTGCCACCCCAGTGCAGAGTAATGGACCCCCAAAGTAGCTCCTCTCTCCCCTCAGTCACCCAGGGGAGAGAAGACAGAGGGAGCCTGGCTGCCGTCTCCCTAAGAGAACTGGCCCCTGTGTCTCCATGCTCACACATTGCCCTGCCACTGGAGGGCAGCACTGGCTCTGTGTGTAGCCCTGGTGACTGGTGCCCAGCGGCCCTGGACACTAAACCTCCTACCCAGACAGCAGGTGCAGCCTGGGCCTGGCCAGTGCCTGGCCAGCGTCTCAGCCCCTCCCCTTGGCCGAGTGCAGTCTTCACACCCATTCTGCCCCTTGTGTCTCTGCAGAGACCACCAGCAAGGAGCCTGGCTCCTCTCCCACTGGGGACTGCTCTGAGACCCCCACTCGTCTCCCATGGCCCTGGAGCAGCCTGGGCCGGGCTGGACCCGAACGAGGGCCTGGATCCCACTTCTGCTCCTCCTGGCTCCTCCCTGGGCAGCAGGATCTGTGTCCCCCTCGCACTGCCCCATCTCTGGGGACACTGTCATTTGCATTGCATCCGGGACCCCACACCCCCAGGGGGCAGGAGGAGAAGGGGCTGGAATTCCCACCCTGCCCCATGTCAGGGCTGAGTGGCCGAGGCCTGGCTAGGGAAAGACCCTTCTCTCGGGCCCTGGAGAAACTCCCGCTCTTTCCTTATGAGCTGCCCGCGGGCCGGCGCAGAGCATCCTGTCCCGTTGTGCGTAACCCAGCCGCCCTCCAGGCCCCCTGTGATCTGCCTGACTTCTTCTTTCGCTCCCCCAGAGCGGCTTGTTTATGAGGTTCGCCAGAAATGCAGGAACATCGAAGGTGAGTGTGTGTGAGCAGGGAGGTGCCTAGCACCCACTGCTGTCCCCAGACATCCCTAGAGACGGGACGTCAGTAAGCCTCAGCCTCCCCTTTGGCCGCACGCTGTCCTGCGCTTAGAGAGAGACTGTGGTGGCGGTGAGGCAGGAAGGGAGCCAGTTGGCAGAGACACCTCCTGGTTTGCATCCGACTGGCATGCAGCGGTGCGGACAGTGGCCATCCTGTTGGATGGAAGGGCTGTCCTGGGGACACAGCACGTGGCACTAGCGGGAGTGGCTGCGTGTGTTGCATTCCCACACCGATGGGATCATCAGGGGAGCACCCTTGGGGCAGATGGCAGAGATGTGGTTGGAGACAGGAGACTGGACTAGAAGGCAGTTGGCTCCATGCTACTCAGTGTCTTCAGCACTGGTCTGAAAGAAAATCTCAGGTCCTTGCTGGTGAAGTTAGGAGATGACGCAGCCATTGGCGGGGGGGTAACAAGTGCCGGGGCAGTCAGTGCAGAGCGAGCAGGATTGCTGGGTAAGCTGGGCCCATTCAAACACAGTGTGTGCAATCCAGGCACTGCCAAGGTCTCCGCGTAAGAGCCGGGGACACAGGCCATGTGCACAGAACGGGGGCTGTCTGCTGGAAAGCAGTGCCTGGAAATGATGTAAGAGTCACAGCGTGCAAGCAACCGTATAAGAGTGCCCAGGGTGATGCCTTAGCAAGCCTTGGGTGTGTAACCAGGGGGGTAGCAAGGACAAGCCCAGAGATCTTCTCTCTGTACACGGCATTGGGGAGACGCTGCTGGAATTCGGTGTCCTGTTCTGGGGGTCACATTTTTAAAAGGATGTTGAAAAATTGCAGTGGGTGCAGAAAAGAGCGGCCCAAAGCAGGAGGACAGGGCTGGAGAAAACACCCTCCAGCGGAGTGTTGTCTGTTTAGCTGACCAGGAAGAAGATTGAGAGGTGACTTGGTTACAGTGTGTAAGTGCTTTCCCAGGGAGAACTCACCAGGTCCTAGAGGGCTCTTTCCTCTAGCGGAGACAGGTAGTGGAGAGCCAGTGGCTGGGAGCTGGAGCCAGACCAAACGAGAAATAAGGTGCAAATCTGTAACAGTGCGTGGAATTAATCAGGGAAGGGGGGGACTCCCAAGGGCAGTGGGGAATTCTCCGTGGCTTGGCGTCTCTAAATGCAGACTGGCTGCCTTGCTGGCAGGTGCATTAGCCAAACACCCGTTACTGGGGTAACTGGCTGGAGTATAGTAGCCTTGGATATGCACATGTCAGGTGGGGTGATCTAATGGTCCTTTCCGGCCTTGCACTCTGCAACTCTTGTTTAGTTGACCTGAAAGAAGGATACGAGACTGGCTCCTGGCTCTGCGTGGGGCCGATGGCTTGTGCACCTCGCAAAGGCAGAACAAGACCCAGTGGCTAGAAACTGAAGTGAGACAAATCCAGGCTAGGAATAAGGAGCAGAGTTTTAACAGGGAGAGAAGGGTAATGAACCACTGGAGCAAGCCACCAGTGGCTGTGGGGAATTTGCTGTCACTTGAACACTTTAGCTTAGGCCTGGGGGTCTGTCAAAGGGATGCACTTTACCTCCACTGTAGCTTGTGGGCTGGAGGCAGGAATCGCTGGCTGGAGTCTCTGCCCGGTGTGATGCAGGACATCGGATGACCCTTCCTACCGTAAAGTGTGTGGCCTTCCGGGCTCCTCTTGTGGCTAGTGGGCGTGGAGTCTGCCGGGGCTCACACTGACTCGTTCGGGAAGCCATGCTGGCAGTGCAGTGTGGTGTTGGTTCCTGGGAGCTTGGGGTGCTCTGGACCAGGTAGCTGGGACACAGAGTGCGGGAGAGGGGATGGAGGTGAGGCTGAGAAGCCCCCATTGTATGTAACACTCTTGCCTTTTCTACTCTCCCCCTCCCCAGATATCTGCATTTCTTGTGGAAGCCTCAACGTTACCCTGGAACACCCTCTATTTATCGGAGGAATGTGCCAAAACTGCAAGGTATGGAGTGGGGGGAGCCTTCTTGCCTCTGTAGGCTGGCCTGGCCCCCAGCCTCCCTGGACGTTCCAGGCCAGACACGAGCAAAGCCGCATGTGCACTTTGATCATCCAGTTCTGCTCTGCAGAGGGGCAAGACCCGAGCTTCAGGCCTCAGCTGCAGTGAGGCCTCTCTGCCCTGTGTGGGCACCACCTTCTTCGAGTGATGGTCCCTGTTGCATTCCGCTGAGGGGTCACGCATGTGCCGTGTGCAAGTAGGAGTGTCCGGTGGTCAGCACACGCGCCCTGCCTTCACCTCAGGGTTTCATCCAAGGCAATAAAGTGCGGGGCGCATGAACCGGGTCTCCAGTTCCTTCTCATCGCTGCGTGGTCCAGGCCAGAGCTGCTAGTGTCCTCTCATCTCTGACATACTGGCAAATAACAGTTCAGAATTGTAGATAGTTTTCTTCCACTTTTTGCTGTTTTTAACATAGTGTCGTTTTTAGGAATAATTTTAGTAGAACTGAGGCCTTTGTGGAATGTGTTTACCAGTTCCCCCTGTCCAGCACCCACATGCAGAAAGTGGATTGTACCAAAGAGGCCAGGATTCAGTTTTGCACCTCCTGCCTGCGTTCCTTCTCGGTCAGCGACTGGCATGCAGTGTGCCCACTGCTGCTTGGGAGAGGCCCGCACTGCATCCAGGTGCTGTGTCTGCCCATCCGTCCCACGCTGTACCCAAGGAGGCCGGGCTCTCCGCCTCAAGAAGTGCCTCATGGAGGTCGCCATGAGCCCTTAGTTGGAACCAGGCTGGGGAACTGCCCCATACGTTGGCCTGAGAAACCCGGGAGTGCACCTCCAGCTGTGGAGATAGAGTCCTGCTTCACTGGTACCGCTGCCTCGGACCATGTGCCAGGGCCTGGCTGGGAGGCAGGGAAGCATGGTCCTGCTTTGAGCAGGGGGTTGGACTCAATGACCTCCTGAGATCTGTTCCAGCCCTAATCTTCTATGATACGCATGACAGTAAGTCTTCCTCTAGGCCTAAGAAGGACGATGCGCTTTCCGCAAGTACCGGCCACGGAGAAGCGGGGCGTTCCAAGGTGCACAAGCATGCCAAAACGTCACGCAGACCAGCGGATCCGCTGGCACCGAGCACCCAGTCGTGCATGCCCTCAATGTCGGCCTCCCTTAAGACAAGGGCTCCGTCAACTCCGGGACAGTCCTCCGCTCCAGGGCCAGTTCTGGTTGCGGAACGAGTACCGTTAACACCGGGGGGATTGGAGGAAACAGCGGAACCACATGAACTGTTTCCTTTAGGAGAACTGAGATCTCACACCTTCCTCCACCCTCTGCACCTAGGGAGGTCCGATCTCCTATCCAGGACTTACTCAGTCGAGTCACGCTGGGACTCATCCTTCTGCGGTTTTCACACTTCCACTGGCTCCAAGGGTACCACCTTTGGAACCGGGATCCGAGTCCTCACCATGGGAGGATTCTGACTGAGGACAAGGGCTGCCCAGTCCCTACCACTGGTACGGGTACCCGAAAGGACCACCAGTGTCGTGGCTGTATCTTTCTCTCCCAACAGCTGGGAGGTCATTGGTTTCCCTCACCACGGAGCCCTCTGCAGCATCCGCTGGATCAGTCCTGCTGGCCCTACTGGGGATCCTGGCCTCTGTACCCACCCTCAGAAGCCACCCATTTGGCAAGGGAGGCTTCACCCCCATCCCCGCTCAGGGTGCCCTCGGGCAGGTGCTCCGAAGCAGTTGTGGGGGACGAATTGCTCAGTCCGGTTCTGCCAGTACTTCTGAAGCAAGAGCATTTCCCATCGTCCTCTCCAGATGCTACAGGAACCTCACTCCCTCTCGCCTCCAGATGACTTTTGGCAGTTCCCAGAACTCCTGGGAAGAGTGGCAGACGGCCTTCATATTCTGCTGGAGGGAATACGAGACAAGCAGCACCAGGTCCTGGACACCCTTCGTTCCTCGGTGCCGAGCAGGGTTGCTCTGCCAATCAACAATGCGATTCTGCAACCAGCTCGAACTGTTTAGCCTACCCTGGCCACTTGCATGCCTACCTCCAGGGGGCAGGGAAGAGAGGCTACGTACCGGCCAAGGGATTGGAGTTTCTTTTTTCACACCCCCACCCAGTTCTCTCATGGTGCAAGCAGCAACAGAACAGTCCAGACAGCAACACCCATGCTCCACCCCGTCGGATAAGGAGGGCAAATGCTTAGACCTTCTGGGACGCCAGGTCTTCTCTTGAGCTAGCCTCCAATTTCAAACTACCAGGCCTTGCTGGCCAAATCTAACTTCCTCAACTACAGAAAGTTGGAGGACTTTACTGAAAGGCTCCTCAGCAAGGTTGAGCATGTTTCCAGTCTATCCTGGAGGAGGGCAAACGGCACTACAGTCGGCTCTAGACGCTGCAGATCCTCTTCACACTCCATGGCCATGGGCATTGTCATGCGGAGGGAATCGTGGCTGCTCACATCCAGTTTACCCAGGGAGGTGCAAATACCATTGAGGAGCTCCAGTTCCACGAGTCACACTGGTTGAAGCTGAAGACTGACAATTCCCTCCACTCCCTCGAGGATTCCAGAGTCACACTTCAATCGCTGGGTATCTGTGCACCTGCACCCAAGCAGAACTTCTACCACCCACCACCTCCTCAAGACTCCCCAGGTCTTCCACCAGAGACCATACGAACCTCCTCGGAAGTGCCAGAAGACCTGACGATCCCACCCTCCAGGCCCCCTTCCCGGACTTCAGCATCTCACATTCAAACCTCTCAGAAACAATATTTCTGAGTGTCAACCACCATGCCAACTGCCATGCAACCAACCCACCCCCTTCGGGTGAGTCTAGCACTCTTCTTACCAGCTTGGAGTGCAATAACAACAGACAAGTGGGTACTGTATGCCATCCGCTATGGCTATACAATCGAGTTCAGCATGCTACCACATCCACATCCCCCACCCCGATCCCTCCTCAGGGACCACTCTCACAACAGCATCCTTGCCTTAGAAGTGACCCCTAACTGCAAAGGGGAGTGAGGGAGTGCATTTCTCCAAGCTATCAGGGCACGGGATTCTATTCCACTTACTTCCTGGTACCCAAGAAGAATGGCAGATGGAGACCAATCCTGGATCTCCGTCGCTTCAACTGCTTCATCCGGCAGCCCAAGTTCCGTATGGTCGCTTTAGCGGCCGACATGCTATCGCTAGAGAAAGGCACGTGCTTTTCGGCTCTCGATATGCAGGACCCCTAGTGTCACATAGGCATGTAACCCACTGAAAATTCCCAAGGTTCATGGTAGGCCCTCAGCATTTTCAGTACAGGGTCCTGCCATTTGGACTCACCACTGCTCCCCGGAGCGGCCCACCAGTCCTTATATTCCCCATCTCGACTAGCAGCGCAATCCAGAGTTGAGACTCGGATCTCGACCTCCATGGTGCTCAGTCTCTTTTCCTCCCTGGGAGTCAACGTCAACGTCAAAAAATCAATTTTGATTCCCACACAGCCCCAAGACTTCATAGGGGCCTCCATCAACTCGGTCACAGCCAGAGCTTACCTAGCAAGGGACAGGTTCCAGCCTCTGCGGGAACATGTTGACTGGGTAGTCAACAGTCCACCTGTCCCGGTCAGGACTTGCTTATCCCTCCTTGGCCACATGGCATCCTGCACATATGTCAGCGCCTTCGCTCACCTCCACCTTCACTGTCTGCAGATGTCGCTCCAGGGGGGTTTACTCGCTGTGATGGGGTGTACCTACCGCATCCTGGCCCAGAAAGGGTTAACTGTGCATTGCAGGATGAGACGGCCATGTCCCCTCCATCCCTGCTGGGCATGCTTAGCCTGGAGGCAAGATATAAAAGCAGCAGCTCTGCTCAGTCTAGGCAGGCTGCTGAAGGGGAAGGGTGCAGATTGCAGGCTCTCTCCCAGGAGCTGCTACAGGCCCAAACCACAGAGCCAAGGCGCGCCGAGCCCCAGATGGATTCCAGGCTGCTTGTGGAATCCAGAGAAGGGAGCCATCAGCAGCTGCACTGGCCGAGGACCCCAGAGACCCAGGGGAACCATGGGCCACCGCTGTAGAAGACAGGATAGGAAGCAGCCCAGGGGATTTAGACATGGCTCCGGTTGGAGAACGGAAGAACAGGTTAGCGTGTTTCGGGTGGATCCCCGCTGACTCAGAGGGCCCAGGTCCTCCTACACCAGGTGCCACACACCCTTAGGTGGTGCTCCACGTCCCCAGTGGGCCAAAAGGCCACACAGCCCCTCAGAGGTAGGCAGCTTTATTGACTTCAGCCACTAGGCCACGCAGCCCTATAAGGAAGGGTCACTCTATTGATGCCGGCTACTGAGTCATGTAGACCCATGAGGAAGAGCGACTCTGGCCACTAGGCCGTACTACCACATGTTATGGTCAGGGTCACCAGCGTAAGAGCTAACTGGCTGCGGCACAGCTTCTCCTTGTCTTCTGACAAGCTGTGACCTGACACCCCGTGACGGGTGTTACCTACCCCACGACACACATGCACACTACGTGCCACAGGCCTTATGCTGTCAGTCCCCCCCGAGGTGCTCTCTTCCCTCCGGTGGTGAATGGACCCGTGGCAGGTGTCTACAGGGATCCCCATCCTCCCTGACAGGACAATCAGCACGGATGCGTCCCTCACAGGATGGGGAGCGCACATGGCCTAGCCCATGACGCAAGGGACACGGACCCCTCGGGAATTCAGAATGCACATCAACCTTCTGGAACTCCGGGCAGTACGGCGAGCGCGGCGAACATTTCTCCCATCGCTCGCATGATGTTCTCATCATCTCAGACACCACCACCACCATCTGTTACATCACAGACTGGGGCAGGAGGTCTGTGTGCGGACGCGGTGAGTCTGTGGGATTGGTGCGTTGCCCACAAGAGCCTATTGTCAGCAGCCTGTCTTCCAGGGACTCAGAACATGATTGCAGACTCCCGGCTGAAGAGTCATCTCCGTCACAAGTGAGAGCTGCACGACTCCATAGTAAACGACATCTTCAGCCAGTGCGGGACTCCTACCAGAGGCCTCTTTGCCTCCCACAGCAACAACAGCACGTACTGCTCAAGGCAATGCCTCATCCTCCACTGGTTAGACCAGATCAGCTCCTCCTCCCCCTCTTCCACTCCTTCCACCAGTCCTCCACAAGATCAGACAGGAAAGGGCCCCGTTCTGGCCACCCCAGTTTTGGTTTCCCAACCTTCTCCTTATGTCGGCCTGTCCCTCATTACCCCTACCCACAAGGATCAGACACCCCGATCCACAGACACGTTACCTCAGAGCTTGGTATTTGGATAGGCATCTTCTCTAGAGCGGACGTGCATGTTGGCGGGGCATGATGGCCTTTCGAGCAGCAGGAAGGAGTCCACAAGGCATTCCTGTTGGGCCAAGGGAAATCGCTTGGCCTTTTGGTCCCAGCAAAAGGGCTTTCTTCTGAGGAAGTGGGCATTTCTCTTCTTTTGGACAGCCTCCTGTCCTTGGAGATGTCGGGGCTCGCCCTCAGTTCTCTCAAGGTTCACGTAGTGGCGATCAGCGCCTTCCACCGCCTCATGGAAGGACACTCCGTATTTACACATCCGTTGACTACCAGGTTTTGGAAAGCTCTCCCCAGGACTGACCCACCCATACAGCTCGTCACCCCCCAGTGCGACCTCAACCTCGTTCTAGCAGCATTAATGAAACCGCCCTTTGAGCCTCTGGTTTCATGCTGTATGTTCTTCCTCTCCATGAAAGTCACCTTCCTAGTGGCTGTCACTTTGGCGAGAAGGGTAGGCAAACTGGGGGCCACAATGGAGGACCCCCCTTTCGCCACGTTCCATAAGGACAAAGTCTTCCTGCGCCTGCACCCCAAGTTTCTACCAAAGGTCATAGCTCAGTTTCATCTCAATTATCCCATACGCTCACCTGCTTTCTTCCCAAAGCCTCACGCCTCGGCAGAGGAGTGGCACCTTCACTCCCTTGATGTCCGCAGGGCTCTGACCTACTTGCCGAGGACCAGACCTATCAGGAGGTCCCCTAGACCAGCGTTTCTCAAACTTGGGTCCACCGTGTCCCCAGGCCACACTGATCAACTCTTCCCCCTCCCTCCCAGCGCATCAGGGGCCCAGGGCTAAGGCAGGCTTCCTACCTGCCATGGTTCCACGCAGCTCCCGGAAGCAGCCGCCAGCTCCTTGCGGCCCCTAGGCTCATGGGCGGCCAAGGAGGCTCCGCACACTGCCCCTGCCCGAGTGTCGGCTCCGCAGCTCCCGTTGGCTGGGAACCGTGACCACTGGGAGCTGTGGGGGCGGCGGGTGTGCCACAAGGGCAGCGCGCAGAGCCTCCCTGACTGCCAATGAGCCCAGGGCCTGCGGGGACCCATCAACCGCTTCCTGGGAGCCACAGTGAGCGCTGCCAGGACTCCGCACCCCAAACCCTCTCCTGTACCCCAACCCACTGCCCCAGCCCGGAGTCGCTTCCCACACCCAAAGTACTTTCCAGAGCCTACACTCTGAAACCCGCCCCCCCCAACCCCTTTCCCCAGCCCGGAGTCCCCACCCGCATGCAAATTTCTTCCCAGAGCCCACACGCCACACCCCGCCGTGCCCCAACCCTCTGCCCCAGCCCTGAGCCCCCTCCTGCACCTCAGCCCCCAGCCTAGAGTCCCCTCCCACACCCAAACTCCTTCCCAGAGCCCACACTCTGAACCCCCCCTACATGCCCCAACCCCCTTCTGCAGCCCTGAGCCCCCTCCTGCATCCTTGCCCCAGCCCAGAGTCCCCTCATGCACCCAAACTCCTTCCCAGAGCCCACACTCCGCACCCCCCCACAGCCCAACCCCCTTCCCCAGCCCTGAGCCCCCTCCTGCACCCCAAACCCCTACCCCAGCCTGGTGAAAGTGAGTGAGGGTGGGAGAGAGCGAGCGACAGAGGGAGGGCAGATGGAGCGAGCAGGGGTGGGGCCTCAGTGAAGGGGCAGGGCAGGGGCGCCATTGAAATTTTTTTTATCAAAATGGGGGTCCTGAGGTTGCTAATGTTTGAGAACCGCTGCCCTAGACCGTTTATCGCAATAGCTGAGAGGCTTAAGGGGCAGGTAATCTCCACGCAGAGGATTTCCAAGGGGATTTCGAGGTGTATTACATTCTGCTGTCCACTGACGGGACTTGGAGTGAGAGCCCAGACTCCGCGATGTGTCACTTCCAGACACACATGGAATTCGCTGCCCGCAGCGCCTTGGTATGGGACTCTGCGATGGATGCCTCGTGCTGCATGGCTGTCCTCCCTTCCACCCTGCAAATAATCACCCTCGATGGAATGCAGTAGGGGCCAGCACTCGAAGAGGAGGAGGTTACTTACCTGTAACTGGAAGTTCTTTGCGTTGTGTGGTCCCTCGCTGGATTCCACTTCCCGCCTCTGCTGCGGATCTGTTGGATCTGCAGTGGAGAAGGAACTGGGCTTGGTCCCCGCCCGTCATCGCCTCGGTCAAAACCATGAGGTGAAGCCAGGGTGCATACGCAGACCAGCCGACACTCTCTGGCTTTCAAGTGCTCCAGCTTCGGCACACAATGTATGTGTAACCCCTCAGTGGAATGCAGGTAGGGACCACACATCTCAAAGAGCCTCCAGTTGCAGGTGAGTAACCTCCTCTTCTCATAGACTCATAGAATATCAGGGTTGGAAGGGACCTCAGGAGGTCATCTAGTCCAACCCCCTGCTCAAAGCAGGACCGATCCCCAATTTTTGCCCCAGATCCCTAAATGGCCCCCTCAAGGATTGAACTCGCAACCCTGGGTTTAGCAGGCCAATGCTCCAACCACTGAGCTATCCCTCCCTCTTCCTGGGTTTCCATCCCTTTGTTGCCTTCAAACATTTCTTGGTCCTTTTAGCCCTCTGCTCAAAGAATTTCCCCTCGAGGCAGGCTCCCCGCAGCAGGCCAGCCTGGCAGCAAGGGTTCAGCTGCAGGGGTTCTGCTCCCTAGCCCAGCAGGGCAGCCCGAGGGTGGATTACTCCCCATGGCCAGATGCAGAGCTCTGTGTCTGTGATGTGGGCCGTCCCCCTGGGTGGAGGGGTGCGGAGGGGACACAGCGTTCACTCCCCTCTCACTGTCCCCAGAACTGCTTCCTGGAGTGCGCGTACCAGTACGACGACGATGGCTACCAGTCGTACTGTACAATCTGCTGTGGTGGCCGTGAGGTGCTCATGTGCGGAAACAACAACTGCTGCAGGTGGGTGTGGCGTGCTTAGCCGGGCTGGGACCCCGGGGCGTTCAGCCAGCTGCACCGGCCCTGCGCTGCGGGACGGGAAGGGCTCAGCCCCACGCTTCTGTCTGGCCTTGGGCAGGAACATGCGGCCAGCCACTGCCCTAGGAAGGAAGGGTTGAGACCTACAGCCAGTTTTCCCTCCCTCTCCAGGGCCCCCGCAACCAGGCCAGTCAGTGATGAAGGGACCAGAGAGACCTTGGGGACATGTGAGATGGTGATGCCGGACCCTGGGGCAAAGACCAGGACCCTGGGGCAAAGACCAGCACTCTGGCTGTGTGCCAGCTGGCCTGGGCCCTGAGCCCCAGCGGGCTCAGACTGGCACCTGTGGGTTGCCTTCCCAGCTCAGCACGGTCCTGCCCCCTGCAGTTAGGGGACAGCAAGGGAGGGAGCGGGGAGGGTCGCACGCGGCCCGCGCTGGGGAGCTGTGCTCCTGCAGGCCGTGGAGGCGAGGAGTACCCCCCACGCACCCCCCTGGAACAGAGGCGGGGCAGTAAATGGGCTGAAGCGTCTCCCCTTCCCCCGGATCTCAGGTGCTTCTGTGTGGAGTGTGTGGACCTGCTGGTGGGACCAGGTGCAGCCCAGGCAGCCATCAAGGAGGACCCCTGGAACTGCTACATGTGCGGCCACAAGGGCACCTACGGGCTGCTGAGGCGAAGAGACGACTGGCCCTCGCGCCTCCAGATGTTCTTCGCCAATAACCATGACCAAGAATTTGTGAGTATGTGGCATCGCTGCCCGGTCCCCCCGGGGGCTCGGCCCGGCGGCTCCCCAGAGTCACGGCAGAGCAGAGTCTCCCCACAGCCCTGCACCTGCTGCCGCTTGCTTCCGAGGGGCCTGGGCTGAGCACGCCCAGCGGGGCTGCCGGGGCAGCCGCTGTGCTGGGTCCCAGATCATCCCGGACATGCGGGACTGCTGGGGATCTCCGGGGTCCTCGAGTCCAGGCCCTGCTGTCGCAGGCAGCACCGTCATGGCGTCCGCTTCGTGAGCTCTCCGGAGTCCCTCGGCGAGCATCTTCGCCCCCCACGCCTCCTGCTGGGAGGCTGCTCGGGAGCCTCCCTCCTTCCCTGGTTACAAACCTCCTCTCCGGCCAGAGCGGCCCAGCTTGGGCTGGCATTGTCCTTTAGCTACCGAGCGCTGCCCCGCCGACGTGTGTGTCTAGACAGTGGTCAGTTCCCCACTCAGCAAGCCTGGCGTCTCCACTCCTAGGAGAGCGCAGCAGGGAGGTCCCCGCATTGCATGGAGCTCCAGCCATGATTAGCTCCCCCCGTAAGAGCTGGGATGGGACCCATCCGGGAGTTGGGAGCCCCGTTCATGTCTGAGAAGACTGTCTAGGGGAGCGTTTCTTGTGCCCCCCATCTCTCATGCTGCGCTGTGTGTGTGTGTTTTAAGGACCCACCAAAGGTTTATCCACCGGTCCCGGCTGAGAAGAGGAAGCCCATCCGAGTGCTCTCTCTCTTCGACGGAATTGCCACAGGTGGGTTAACAAGAGGGAGCTGAGTGGCACTAGGGTTCTGCTGTCCGCCTCCATGCTTACAGCACCCCACTACAGCCCCACAGCCTGGCAACCATGGGGCGGCCGTGACCCACCAGCACAGCCTAGCCCACTTCACAGCATGCAGAGGGCAAGGGGGAGCAGAAACGCTCTGGCTTAGCACCAGGGCAGTGCATGACCCAGCTGGTAGGTTCTCAGTAGCAGAACGCGATCCTGGGTTCTAAACCTAGCATGCAGGATGGGTGTTTGGCCCAGCCAGCGAGTACCAAGTGTGGGCTATTGCTCCACCTGTCTCTCGCAGCTCTGCTAAAGGGCCCCGCAACCCCCAAGATCATAGAACATTTTGCATCGACTATGGCCACCAGTTTCAAACTAAGTCCCTGATTTTGTGTGCTCCCAACTCAAGTCACTTTTGGCCTGGTTACTCAGAGGGGCTGAGGATCGAAAGCCACCGGGCCAGGCCGTCTGAAATCAGCTCCAAGGTGCCCTCATTGTCCTGCCGGCCGTATTTCAAAGAGGGTGAGCCCAGGTTTCCACCAGGGGGCTGTGTAATTAAATTTGGCCTCTCCACACCCTTGGGAGTGTCAAAGTCAGATTCAGGACTCACATAATTTGTCAGACCACTCTGTTTATTAGCAAAGCGCTTTGCCAATGTACCCAGATATATGTGAGCCAACTGCAAAAAGCTCAAGCCAACCCATTTATACAGACAAGCCAAAGCCAATCCAACATAGGAGACAAAAGGAAGCAGAAACTGACAAATATACATACATATCTTATTTGCATACTAACATTTACCAATCTCCTAGCTCAGTAGGAGCTCTAAGTTAATTGGTTTGAGGACCCATTGTCTCACCCTCCTTAATGTTTCTCTTCCTGACCACTATATTTCAACAAATCTTTCAAGCAGCATTTCTTTAATGAATTATAATTTCAATATAATTCATTCTACTTTCACTGGAGTAAGGAGCAAACTCGGGGGGGAGGGGGTCCCCTGAATCAGTGGAATTCATTCTACTTTCACAATCCCTCCTTTTGGTCAAGCTACACAATGACCAACAATGACTAGGTTCCACATATCAATCGTTCTTTATCTCTTTGTTAATCAGTGATATTTTGTGATATTGCGCTGGGCATCACAAAATGGGGAAGAGATGGCCAGCCCTCTGTGGAGATAGAGGTGGTTAGGGACTGTTTAGAAAAGCTGGACGTGCACAAGTCCATGGGGCCGGACGAGTTGCATCCGAGAGTGTTGAAGGAATTGGCGGCTGTGATTGCAGAGCCATTGGCCATTATCTTTGAAAACTCGTGGCGAACGGGGGAAGTCCCGGATGACTGGAAAAAGGCTAATGTAGTGCCAATCTTTAAAAAAGGGAAGAAGGAGGATCCTGGGAACTACAGGCCAGTCAGCCTCACCTCAGTCCCTGGAAAAATCATGGAGCAGGTCCTCAAAGAATCAATCCTGATGCACTTGCATGAGAGGAAAGTGATCAGGAACAGCCAGCATGGATTCACCAAGGGAAGGTCATGCCTGACTAATCTAATCGCTTTTTATGATGAGATTACTGGTTCTGTGGATGAAGGGAAAGCAGTGGGTGTATTGTTTCTTGACTTTAGCAAAGCTTTTGACACGGTCTCCCACAGTATTCTTGTCAGCAAGTTAAGGAAGTATGGGCTGGATGAATGCACTATAAGGTGGGTAGAAAGCTGGCTAGATTGTCGGGCTCAACGGGTAGTGATCAATGGCTCCGTGTCTAGTTGGCAGCCGGTGTCAAGTGGAGTGCCCCAAGGGTCAGTCCTGGGGCCGGTTTTGTTCAATATCTTCATAAATGATCTGGAGGATGGTGTGGATTGCACTCTCAGCAAATTTGCGGATGATACTAAACTGGGAGGAGTGGTAGATACGCTGGAGGGGAGGGATAGGATACAGAGGGACCTAGACAAATTGGAGGATTGGGCCAAAAGAAATCTGATGAGGTTCAATAAGGATAAGTGCAGGGTCCTGCACTTAGGATGGAAGAATCCAATGCACCGCTACAGACTAGGGACCGAATGGCTAGGCAGCAGTTCTGCGGAAAAGGACCTAGGGGTGACAGTGGACGAGAAGCTGGATATGAGTCAGCAGTGTGCCCTTGTTGCCAAGAAGGCCAATGGCATTTTGGGATGTATAAGTAGGGGCATAGCGAGCAGATCGAGGGACGTGATCGTTCCCCTCTATTCGACATTGGTGAGGCCTCATCTGGAGTACTGTGTCCAGTTCTGGGCCCCACACTACAAGAAGGATGTGGATAAATTGGAGAGAGTCCAGCGAAGGGCAACAAAAATGATTAGGGGTCTGGAACACATGACTTATGAGGAGAGGCTGAGGGAGCTGGGATTGTTTAGCCTGCAGAAGAGAAGAATGAGGGGGGATTTGATAGCTGCATTCAACTACCTGAAAGGGGGTTCCAAAGAGGATGGCTCTAGACTGTTCTCAATGGTAGCGGATGACAGAACGAGGAGTAATGGTCTCAAGCTGCAGTGGGGGAGGTTTAGATTGGATATTAGGAAAAACTTTTTACTAAGAGGGTGGTGAAACACTGGAATGCGTTACCTAGGGAGGTGGTAGAATCTCCTTCCTTAGAGGTTTTTAAGGTCAGGCTTGACAAAGCCCTGGCTGGGATGATTTAACTGGGAATTGGTCCTGCTTCGAGCAGGGGGTTGGACTAGATGACCTTCAGGGGTCCCTTCCAACCCTGATATTCTATGATTCTATGATATTTAAAATCGTCAAATTAGCCCTCTGGTTTGGGGCAGCTATCTGTGTAGCATGCCTGACACAATTTTGGATACAACAGGAAAGTAACTGAAAACATACAAAAATTATTAGGATTCCAAACAGGAGAGTTAGGGCTCCCTGAAACTACCAGTTTCCTATGCCAGAGAAATTGAAAAGGTTACTTAGCCACTTCAATAAAGAACTTGGCTCTTCGTGGGGAAGATATGCGATTTTTGTTCTAAGCGGCTAGCACGATCTATTACCTCATTGGTGTTGTCTGGTATATACACACAGCAGTCTTTTCCAATGAGAGCACAAGTCCCTCCTTTTGCCACGAGCACTATGTCCAATGCCTGACGGTTTTGGAGGGTCATCTGTCGGATTGCCCCTGTTTCTTTGGCCAGGGCTCTTAAACTTTCTCCGGTTTCATTTGCCATTATTTCAACTACTGCTTGTAACCTTAGTAGCCTTTTTGCATGGTGTATTACTCCCCCTAATGGTATGAAGGAACCGCCAATGGCCTCTTCCCAGGTTAAGGGGCTTATGTTATTTACATACCATTGGGCATCTGTTAAGTCCCTTCTTTTTCGCCTGAAATTGCGGAGGCGTTCTCGAGGGAAGGTTCCTAGCACTCGGAATTGTGGGAAGAGTTGGGCGGGATAATAGATTCCTGACCAATTTGCTGGTAGTGCGGTATAAGCTCTGGTCCCACACACCCAGTGATGGCCTATTAAGGCCGGGAAGGGTCGGTTGCACCCATTTGTCATATAGGTGTTTGCAAAAAAGGAGTAGTATCCCCCAAAGGGTACAGGGTAATTCTCCTTACGAGGAGTGGTGTTATTTGCATGACTGTAGGGGGAACATGAGATTGATTTCTCTGTTTGAATTCATATCTCCATACCCGGCCCGCCACTTTTTAGTTTTGTTTGAATAATCGCATACACCTTTGGCCACAATATGCTGAAGGCAACAACTTTTCCCCAGATCCAGCCTTGTCCCATTACACACCCAACACCAATGACCTTTTCCCTCCACCACACTTATCCATTGAGATGCATTTATTCCCACCGCTTCCCAAGTGTCATTGCTGTTCCATATTTTGTTAAACGGACGAGGCCCTCCAGTGAGGTCTGGGGACTTGAGTGGGATAGCCAGGACAGGAACACCAGTTTGAGAGTGGGCTGGGATGTGGCTGCAGACCCAGCAAGTAGAAATATTAAGGGTCTGAGCTGTCCACACCTTCTGCTGGATAAAAGAATTGTCACCGTGGTCTCCCCAGACCGTAAGATACCAGCAGCCAAGGAACAGCGTCTGCTTCTGGCAACCCTTACGAGAGCGTAGATTGTAAGGTATTGCAGACTGTTCCTCTACGTCTTCTTCTGGAGTCAAAATTGACTCTGCGTCGTCCTGAGGTGATGATTGGTTCTCTGGGGATGGTGCTTTCTTACACTGTGAAGCATGTATCCACGCTGCGATGCCAGATAGTTTAAGAGCCGTCTGTGTAGTAAGCAGTACCTGATGAGGACCCTTCCACCGGGGCTCCAAGGCGTGCTTTCGATGATGGTGCTGTACGTAGACCCAATCACCTGGCTCGAGGTTGTGGCAAGCATCAGAGTTGGGTTCCGTGGGCCAGGCGGCTCGAACCTGTGAATGGAAGTGACTTACAGCTTGCATTAGTCCCTTGCAATACTGAAGGAGCGCACTGTGAGTCAAGTTCAAATCTGGAACGGGAGTAATGGTAGTCATAGCTTGCATAGGGCGTCCCGTAACAATTTCAGAGAGACTTAATTTATGCCTTTGGGATGGAGTGGATCTCATGTCCATAAGGGCTAATGGTAAGGCTACTGGCCAGCTTAATCCTGTAGAGTCACAAATTTTAGCAAGCTTATTCTTAAGTACATCATTTCGTCTTTCAACTGCCCCTGCACTCTGTGGGTGGGAGGGACAGTGCAGCAGGTGTTTGATGTGCGATATACGGTCCAGCTGTTGAACAAGTTGTCCAGTAAAATGTGTACCCCGATCCCTGGACAGAGTAGCAGGAATTCCCTTGGCAGGCATAATATGATTTAACAAACATTTGGCAACAGACAGTGAGTCAGCCTTGCGACGAGGAAAGGCTTCAATCCAACCAGAGAATAAACATACCATAACAATATAAATTCATATTGTTGACACTTAGGCATTTGTACAAAATCAAGTTGCCAATGCAAGAACGGTGCTTGAGGCAGACCCCAGAACCCCTGGGCCACTTTTACAGGTTTGCCAATATTATGGCTTTGGCAAATGGTACAGGCTGCACAGTGGCGGGCTGCAAAAGAGCTAAAATGGGGGGCCCACCATCCTGTCTTAGTTACAGCAGAGACCATCCCCTCCTTTCCGACATGCGAAACACCGTGTAGCAGGGCGGCCAGAGACGGGTAGAGTGAAAAGGGGGCTACAAAGGCGCCAGTAGGCAAGCGCCAAAAAGAATCAGGATGTAGAGAGCAACCTTGGGCAACCCAGGATTCTTTCTCAGTTTCTGGGGCAGAGTCTTGGAGCAGGGCGAGGTCAGTGAGGGACCAGGAGGGTAAGAGGAGAGCGGAGAACAAGGGAATCAGACATTTCGACTAGGGGCGCTGCAGCAGCCACAGCACGCAGGCAGGGGGGTAAGCCTTGGGCAACAGGGTCTCAAGTGGCAGAGAAATAAGCTACTGGGTGGTTCTTTTCTCCGTGCATCTGAGTGAGAACTCCAAGTGCACAGCTAGATTGTTCGTGGCAGAAAAGGGTAAAAGGCTTAGAACAGTCAGGCAGCCCTAAGGCCAGGGTCAGGCACAGAGAATCGAGTGAGTTCCTGGAGAGGTTTTGCAAGGGAGGCATATTGGGGAATCCACTGTCTGCAAAATCCAGCCATGCCTAAAAACTTCCGGACCTGGCGTGGGGAGCGGGGTCAGGGAAAGCTAAGGATAGCTTGGACACGGGTGGGAGAAAGTGCACGGGAAAGCTAGGAGAGGAGAAAGCCGAGGTATGTGACAGAAGCTTGACAGAGTTGTAGTTTAGAGCGAGAAGCCTTGTGACCCTTATTTGCTAGGGCAGTAAGGAGCACTAAAGAGTCAGTTTCAGAGGCAGATAATGAAGGGGAACAGAGGAGTAGATCATCTACATATTGGACTAGTGTGGACCTGGACAGGAAAGCAAGGTCTCGGGCTAATGCTTGGGAAAAATATGACAGGCTTTCAGTATACCCCTGGGGCAGTGTGGTCCATGTGTACTGTTGCCCCTTGTAAGTAAAGGCAAACAGGAACTGGGAGTCAGGGTGAACCGGGACAGAAAAGAAAGCAGAGCACAAATCAACAACAGTAAAATGAGTTGCATCTGGTGGGATAGAAGCCAGAATCTTTGAGAGGGTCAAGTTTTGATTCTGTCCACCTATGATTTGCCTCTACCCACCACTGCATGAAACAATCAACCTCTCCTTTTGCCAATTTAGTTTTAGGTTGGCCAAGTTTGTCTTTTAAGATGTCTACTCGGTCTTTGTCCCAAGATCCTAACAGTGGCCACTGAATTTTGGGATTCTCCTGAGTTAGCCTAGACCATTTTTCCAGAAATTTACTGGAGTCCGGACCGTTCCTAAAATACATAAACTGAGCCAGCGTTCCTTTAGGACTGTCCCGACTTAGACGTCTGGTTACCCATACAGGAGGACTTTACGCACCAATCACACAAGAAGGAAAGTCGGGTTCGTCAGAGCAATGCCCGGTGCAACATATAAAAGGAGCCCACAGGCTACTGCCTCAATTGCCCTTGCTTTCACACCAAGGGTTTTAGCCAAGGCATGATGCGGCTGCGATTGTGCAGATTTCCCTCACTCAGACCATGGGGACAGGAACCCTTTGGTCAGCCAATCCCCAGACGGAGACGGCGCCCAGACTCAAACACACCACAGGGAGGACGGATAGACACAGAGACAAGACAGTCCTCAGTCCGGACAAAACACAGAAATAATTACCTGACCAGATTCCTGATGTCAGATCCCGGGATCCCTACCAGAACAGAGTGGGAACCAACAGGTTCGATGGCGTAGACTTCACTGTGGTCATGCACCCTTCCGTTCTGGCGGAGGTCCGCTCGGGCCAAATGCCCAGGTGCCGGCTTGCCACGGCCATCCTAAGAACAGTCAGGAGTCACACAGCCCCAGTGAAGACAGTTGCCATCTCGGTGGAACCTCCAAATTGTCAAAGTCAGATTCAGGACTCACATAATTTGTCAGACCACTCTGTTTATTAGCAAAGCGCTTTGCCAATGCACCTAGATACGTATGAGCCAACTGCAAAAAGCTCAAGCCAACCCATTTATACAGACAAGCCAAAGCCAATCCAACATAGGAGACAAAAGGAAGCAGAAACTGACAAATATACATACATATCTTATTTGCATACTAACATTTACCAATCTCCTAGCTCAGTAGGAGCTCTAAGTTAATTGGTTTGAGGACCCATTGTCTCACCCTCCTTAATGTTTCTCTTCCTGACCACTATATTTCAACAAATCTTTCAAGCAGCATTTCTTTAATGAATTATAATTTCAATATAATTCATTCTACTTTCACTGGAGTAAGGAGCAAACTCGGGGGGGGAGGGGTCCCCTGAATCAGTGGCCTCTGTAGTTCCCCATAGGGATACTACGAGTGTCCTGACTGCACCAGGTAGCTACAAGAAGCAGCTGCTTGAGTTCCATCGTTTTGTGTCGGAGGAGCCAGTGGTCCTGAGTCACTGCTCAGTGCTGAGAGGTCTCCTGGTGCATCTGGTTTGGGATGATGATCCCGATGGCAAGTGCTCCTTGGGGTGCTGTCCCCAGCGCCATCCCGCTGTTCCGTGCCTGACCCCTGCTCTGTCTCCTGGCAGGTCTGCTGGTGCTGAAGGACCTGGGCATCCAGGTGGACCGCTACATTGCTTCCGAGGTTTGCGAAGACTCTATCACTGTGGGGATGGTGAGACACCAGGGCAAGATCATGTACGTCGGCGACGTCCGGAATGTCACCCAGAAACATGTACGTGCGGCTGCCATCTGCCTGCCCCGCTCACCTCCCTAGCCCCCCGGCAGGCATCCCCACTCAGCGGCTGCGTCTCACAGGGGAGCAGCGGTCCTCCGGGGGGGCGGTCTGAACCCTTTTCTAGAGTCACAGAATTTAAGGTCAGAAGGGATGTGTGGCCGAGTATGCACGCTCCACCCCCTTTGGGCATGGTGACACCGCAGGTACAGTCTGTCAGACTGTGCTGGGACTCAAGACAGTGCGGCTCAATGGCCAGAGTCAATACAGCGGCCCTCGAGCATAGGGCTGCGTGGCCTAGTGGCCGGAGTCAATATAGCGGCTCTCGAGTTCTGGGTATCACAGCCTAATCACCAAATCCGGGGGCTGCCACCAAAGTGGGGGTGGTAGCTGGGGGAGGGGGAGCCGGGCCTACTCGACCCAACTAGGTCCCAGCCCAGGGCCCTGTCAGCGGGGAATCCAGCCGCCACACTCTGACCGTACACGGGTGGGAGATAACACTCACTCCTCCTCCCTGGGCCGCTTCCTGAAGCTGCAGTCCGGGTTCCTCGGTGCAGGGGGCTCCCTGGGACTCCAGTACAAAGGGCGGCCAGCACGTCTCTCAGCCTGTGCCGCTTCCCGCAGCCCCCATTGGCCTGGAGCAACGAACCGCGGCCACTGGGAGCCGCGATCGGCTGAACCTGGGGACACAGCAGGTAAACAGCCGGCCCCAGGCCGCCAGGGGCTTTCCCTGCACAAGTGGCGGACCGGCTTTGAGAACCACTGGCCTAGACTGCGAGCTGGGCTGCTCTCCTTTATACTAGCACAGAAATTGGAGCATGCCTAACTGGTTCTAAGGGGCAGGACTTCCTCCAGCCGAAGTGTGGGATTAACCCTTTCTCGCCTGGTGTGGGGTTTGCACACCGCATCACAGCACCATTCAGTGATGTAGTCTGGCCTCCTGTGTGTCACCAGCTGGTCCGTTTCACCCAGTTACCCCTGTACTGAGCCGGGTAACTTGGCTCTGCTAACGCATCTCCCAGAAAAGCAGCCAGGCTGTGTGTGAATTCACCCAATGGGGAAGAATCCATCTCTTCCCTTGGGAGTTTCCTCCAGGGCTTAGTCACCTGCATGGTTAACAAAAGGTGGGTGGTTTCTCATTGGATTTGTCTGGCAACAGTGTCCAGCCATGGGTTCTTGTTCTGCCTGTCTCCGCTAGAGGAAAGAGCCCTCTGGTACCTGGTATTTTCTCCCTGGAACAGTCCTTAGACTCTGGAATCAGGTTACCCCTCAGGCTCTCTTGGGATCAGCTAAACAGCAGGGGCTCGAAGTCGCACACCATGGCGCATTTTCTCCAGCCCTGGAATCATTTTTGTGGCTCTTTTCTGCAGTTTCTCAACATCTTTGTAAAATGTGGCCCCTGGAACTGGAGTCCATATTCCAGCTTCGGTTTCCCCACCGCCGCATACCAAGGGGGACTCGCCTCCTTTGCCTCCCTAGCCCCTCACTGGTGTGTCTCTGTGTTGCAGATACAGGAATGGGGCCCTTTTGACCTGGTGATTGGAGGGAGCCCATGTAATGACCTCTCCATTGTCAACCCTGCCAGGAAGGGTCTTTACGGTAGGTGTCCGAGCCGGCCATGCCTTCTCCCCCCCACTCCCGTCTAGGCTGAGGCAGGTTGTCAGCAGCTCACCCATGTCTCTCTTCTCTTCCTGCTGCCCAGAGGGCACCGGACGGCTCTTCTTCGAGTTCTACCGCCTTCTCCACGAAGCCCGGCCCAAGGAGGGCGATGACCGGCCCTTCTTCTGGCTCTTCGAGAACGTGGTGGCCATGGGGGTGAGCGACAAGCGGGACATTTCGCGCTTCCTAGAGGTGAGCACTACCATGGAAACCTGCTCGCCCTCCCCTAATGCACATGAGGCTCGCCAGAGAGTCCTGAGCTCCCAGCAGCTTCTGGCTTTGGGTCTGAGGGGCTTCCGTAGACTGGTACCTGTCCAACGATTCCTCAGTGCCCGTGTGTATGACTGAACCCTGGCATGAGGGGCAACGAGCATGGCCCAGCCGTGTGCACACATGCCCGGGGGTGGTTAGCTGGGCGGGGCCCGCTGGGACATGACACCCACCACCGAGAGGGGTGGCAAAGAGCCACAATGGGCAGGGGAAGGTAGATGAGGAGTCAGGAGGGTATTTCCCCTCTGTTTGTTTGGCTCTCGTGAGACCTCTGCTCCAATCCCTTGTCCAGTTCTGGTGCCCACAGATCCAGGAGGAGGTGGCTACATTGGCGAGGGGTCCAGGAAGAGCCACGAGAATGATGAAAGCGTTAGAAATGCTACCTCGTGGAGCTAGACTGAATTCCTCCTTGCCTCAGCTTCACTCCATCCATACCTGTGCCCCCTGCTGCCTTTCCCTCCACCCTGTCCCCTTCCCTTTGCATCCCAGCTAACGGCTCCCCGTGGCACCCCCAGGCCATCCCTCCGCTCTCCCCACTGGGCTCTGTCTGCTCTCGTGAGCATGTGGCTCTTCAGGGCAGGGACTGGCTGCGACTGGCTTTGTGCAGTGCCCAGCACAGTGGGGCCTGGTCTGGAGTGACAAGGTGGGACCCCGCCTGTATGGCTCGGGGGGTGGGTACATGGAGCCCAGCGTGTCTGGCAGCACAGAGCCAGCTGACAGAGCACCCCCACATGTCTCTGACACTGGCTGGGTCAGCTCTCCCCCAGGATTTTGTTTGTGGGGGAGGGGTCAGCTGCAGGAGGGGAATCTGAACCAGCTTTCCGGCTGCTCCCCTGCTGCAAGCGTTGGGTGGCTGACCCGAGCAGTGGGGCTGGGATTCCAGCACTGCGTGCACCGGAGGGCTGGGCATGCTGGCGTCTGAGCCCTTGCCCTGCAGGTCGTGGCTGTCAGTGCAGAACTTCTCTCCAGTAGCCGCCCTGCCCTCTCGCCGCCTTCCGGGCCTCCTGCTGTACGCAGTGGGTGCAGTGACCCAGTCTAACCACCCCAGTGCCCACTGCCCAGCCAGCTGCTCTGAACAGGTATCCACCCTGGGAGGGAGGAGCAGACAGGAGTTTGCCCCACCCCGCTCGGGGGAGACGCTTCCCAGTAGGGAGCATCCCCCCACACACACATACAGACTCCCATGACCCCTAGTTCCACACTTCCCCCTTGGCTTAACGCCTTGCCCTGCTTTTCGTCCGCATGTCCCTTCTGACCCTGAGCCACGGCGCTCACCCCTGTGCCAGCCCTTGGCTCATTTCTCTGGCTCTTCTCTGAGCTCTCTCCACTTAGTCACTGGCTGGCTGGTAGAACTGAATTCAGTGTCTGGCGCCTCATGGAGGAGTGCTCTCGATGCCTCTGTGGGTGCAGCGCTGGATCCCATTGGCCAGATCCGCTGTCTGACTGCATAGCCACCTCCTGCCGAACTCGCTGTCTGCTGTCAGCCCTGAGAATGTGGTGCTCCTGATTCACAGACTCCCCCTCCCAGCAAAAGCTCTCTTGGGGTATTTGCTCCTCTGACAGGCAGGTTTTTAGATCCATGCATGTTTAAAGAGCAGTTTGTGTCCCTGCCGCACAGTTGTGTTGCAGAGCTGTCGCACCCTGGCATTGCAGCATCTCTAGGTTCTTACAGGGCTGTGCAGCGGCTCTGCGGGGCTAGGATGCAGTGTTACCGCACTGTCATGGAGCTGTGTTCGGAGCTGTGTTCCCTGTGTTGGGGGCTGTGATGCAGTGTTACCGCACTGTCATGGAGCTGTGTTAGGGGCTGTGTTACCTGTGTTGGGGGCTGTAATGCAGTGTTACCGCACTGTCATGGAGCTGTGTTCCCTGTGTTGGGGGCTGTGATGCAGTGTTACCGCACTGTCATGGAGCTGTGTTCGGAGCTGTGTTCATAGAATCATAGAATATCAGGGTTGGAAGGGACCCCAGAAGGTCATCTAGTCCAACCCCCTGCTCGAAGCAGGACCAATTCCCAGTTAAATCATCCCAGCCAGGGCTTTGTCAAGCCTGACCTTAAAAACCTCTAAGGAAGGAGATTCTACCACCTCCCTAGGTAACGCATTCCAGTGTTTCACCACCCTCTTAGTGAAAAAGTTTTTCCTAATATCCAATCTAAACCTCCCCCACTGCAACTTGAGACCATTACTCCTCGTTCTGTCATCTGCTACCATTGAGAACAGTCTAGAGCCATCCTCTTTGGAACCCCCTTTCAGGTAGTTGGAAGCAGCTATCAAATCCCCCCTCATTCTTCTCTTCTGCAGGCTAAACAATCCCAGCTCCCTCAGCCTCTCCTCATAAGTCATGTGTTCTAGACCCCTAATCATTTTTGTTGCCCTTCGCTGGACTCTCTCCAATTTATCCACATCCTTCTTGTAGTGTGGGGCCCAAAACTGGACACAGTACTCCAGATTAGGCCTCACCAATGTCGAATAGAGGGGAACGATCACGTCCCTCGATCTGCTCGCTATGCCCCTACTTATACATCCCAAAATGCCATTGGCCTTCTTGGCAACAAGGGCACACTGCTGACTCATATCCAGCTTCTCATCCACTGTCACCCCTAGGTCCTTTTCCGCAGAACTGCTGCCTAGCCATTCGGCCCCTAGTCTGTAGCGGTGCCTGGGGTTTTGAACAAAGATATTGAACAAAACCGGCCCCAGGACCGACCCTTGGGGCACTCCACTTGATACCGGCTGCCAACTAGACATGGAGCCATTGATCACTACCCGTTGAGCCCGACAATCTAGCCAGCTTTCTACCCACCTTATAGTGTATTCATCCAGCCCATACTTCTTTAACTTGCTGACAAGAATACTGTGGGAGACCGTGTCAAAAGCTTTGCTAAAGTCAAGAAACAATACATCCACTGCTTTCCCTTCATCCACAGAACCAGTAATCTCATCATAAAAGGCGATTAGATTAGTCAGGCATGACCTTCCCTTGGTGAATCCATGCTGGCTGTTCCTGATCACTTTCCTCTTGTGCAAGTGCTTCAGGATTGATTCTTTGAGGACCTGCTCCATGATTTTTCCAGGGACTGAAGTGAGGCTGACTGGCCTGTAGTTCCCAGGATCCTCCTACTTCCCTTTTTTAAAGATTGGCACTACATTAGCCTTTTTCCAGTCATCCGGGACTTCCCCCGTTCGCCACGAGTTTTCAAAGATAATGGCCAATGGCTCTGCAATCACAGCCGCCAATTCCTTCAACACTCTCGGATGCAACTCGTCCGGCCCCATGGACTTGTGCACGTCCAGCTTTTCTAAATAGTCCCTAACCACCTCTTTCTCCACAGAGGGCTGGCCATCTCTTCCCCATTTTGTGATGCCCAGCGCAGCAGTCTGGGAGCTGACCTTGTTAGTGAAGACAGAGGCAAAAAAAGCATTGAGTACATTAGCTTTTTCCACATCCTCTGTCACTACGTTGCCTCCCTCATTCAGTAAGGGGCCCACACTTTCCTTGGCTTTCTTCTTGTTGCCAACATACCTGAAGAAACCCTTCTTGTTACTCTTGACATCTCTTGCTAGCTGCAGAGCTAGCTGTTACCTGTGTTGGGGGCTGTGATGCAGTGTTACCGCACTGTCGTGGAGCTGTGTTCGGGGCTGTGTTCCCTGTGTTGGGGGCTGTGATGCAGTGTTACCGCACTGTCATGGAGCTGTGTTCGGGGCTGTGTTCCCTGGTGTTGGGGGCTGTGATGCAGTGTTACCGCACTGTCATGGAGCTGTGTTCGGAGCTGTGTTACCTGGGTTGGGGGCTGTGATGCAGTGTTACCGCACTGTCGTGGAGCTGTGTTAGGAGCTGTGTTACCTGTGTTGGGGGCTGTGATGCAGTGTTACCGCACTGTCATGGAGCTGTGTTCGGAGCTGTGTTCCCTGTGTTGGGGGCTGTGATGCAGTGTTACCGCACTGTCGTGGAGCTGTGTTAGGGGCTGTGTTCCCTGTGTTGGGGGCTGTGATGCAGTGTTACCGCACTGTCATGGAGCTGTATTCGGAGCTGTGTTACCTGGGTTGGGGGCTGTGATGCAGTGTTACCGCACTGTCATGGAGCTGTGTTCGGAGCTGTGTTCCCTGGGTTGGGGGCTGTGATGCAGTGTTACCGCATGTCGTGGAGCTGTGTTACCTGTGTTGGGGGCTGTGATGCAGTGTTACCGCACTGTCGTGGAGCTGTGTTAGGAGCTGTGTTACCTGGGTTGGGGGCTGTGATGCAGTGTTACCGCACTGTCGTGGAGCTGTGTTCGGGGCTGTGTTCCCTGTGTTGGGGGCTGTGATGCAGTGTTACCGCACTGTCGTGGAGCTGTGTTCGGAGCTGTGTTCCCTGTGTTGGGGGCTGTGATGCAGTGTTACTGCACTGTCGTGGAGCTGTGTTCGGAGCTGTGTTACCTGTGTTGGGGGCTGTGATGCAGTGTTACCGCACTGTCATGGAGCTGTGTTCGGAGCTGTGTTCCCTGGGTTGGGGGCTGTGATGCAGTGTTACCGCACTGTCATGGAGCTGTGTTCGGAGCTGTGTTCCCTGTGTTGGGGGCTGTGATGCAGTGTTACCGCACTGTCGTGGAGCTGTGTTAGGAGCTGTGTTCCCTGTGTTGGGGGCTGTGATGCAGTGTTACCGCACTGTCATGGAGCTGTATTCGGGGCTGTGTTACCTGGGTTGGGGGCTGTGATGCAGTGTTACCGCACTGTCATGGAGCTGTGTTCGGAGCTGTGTTCCCTGTGTTGGGGGCTGTGATGCAGTGTTACCGCACTGTCGTGGAGCTGTGTTCGGAGCTGTGTTCCCTGGGTTGGGGGCTGTGATGCAGTGTTACCGCACTGTCATGGAGCTGTATTCGGAGCTGTGTTACCTGGGTTGGGGGCTGTGATGCAGTGTTACCGCACTGTCGTGGAGCTGTGTTC